GAACACATGGCGGTTGATGAACAATTAGACTTGCCTCTTCGATTAATGGGTCCGTCGGGCAAGAGAAAAAACTGAATTAAAGACCACATAAATTTGGGTTAGTTGAAGGCTGCAAGTGCTTGTTGTTTAGGAGTTTGGGAGCATCTTTTATTTATTTTAATTTGGCTAAAATGTTTATAATTAATAATTTATTGGATTGTATAGTTGGGAAGTTGGTTTCATGGTGGTGCAGCCACAGCTATGAGACGTGGAGTTTAGGTACTAAACAGTTGTTTGATTAACAAAAGCTATAATTATTTGTTCTGGTGAGTTTTATTAATTAAGTTATCCGTCTTTACTAATCAATGAATTTACCTGATCAATAAGGGTTTAATTTGTTTTGTTCTGTATATGCTCCTATTTATGTAATTAGGTGTGTTTGGTAAGCCATGTAATACTTTAGATTCTAATACTAAAAAAGTTTATTTATAAACCATAACTAAAAATCGAAAAATTTACTAAAACTTTAAATTTACATATTTTAATAATTTTATTTAAAAGGATTAGATCGATTTACACTATTTAGTTTTTTTTTTAAAAAAATTATAATAGATTTAAGATCGTTGAATGAGTAGAAATATAAGATTGAGATTAACCCATTATTTTTTCTTAATAAATATATTCTCATTTGCTATTGTTAACCTCATCTCAGTCTTCTATTTTCACTTATCTAACGATCTTATATGTATAAAATTTAATAAATTTTATAATATTAAACGGATCATAACAAATTATTATTAAATAAATAAATTTGATTATTTGATAACAATTCTCTTTGAGGATAGTGCCAAAAGTATTTGGCTTAAGTGCTACTTTTGCCGTAAACTCAATTTATCGTTTTCACCCTTATCATGTTTTCGTATCAATTGAACTCTCAAAGTTGTTCAATTGCATCATCCTAAACCATAAAATTTAATTCAAAACTCTAAATCATAAATCCTAACTTAGAAGTTAAAACTTTAAACAATAATAAATATTTTGAATATTGATGAAATTAAATAATTTTTATAATTAAATTAATGTAAAAATATAATAGGGACGAAAATAATAAATTAACTTTATTACACTAACAAAAGTAGCCTTGAGCCCTTCACCCAACATATTTCAAAACCCATACAAATGTTTCGAAACAAAACTAATAAATCATATTTTGAATTGTATTTATGTATTTCTTTATATTTTATGGTCATGTTCAAGGCATACAAATTTTAATATGTTTATAACTAGTGTTATATAAATCTGTACACATTCGTATATTATATATTTTCTATTTATTTATATGGTGTTTTAATTAAATATATGAATATATTATATAATAATGTATAAAATTGTTAAATATATGGTCTTCGTTTGAATATCTCATTAATTTGGAGGTATAACGATATCTCTCGAGTTGTGTCAAGCCGTGGAGAACTGAAATAGTTAGGTTTGCTCGAAACCTAATGGACCCAATTCTTGCTTTGGGTCAAAATCATGACCCTTTTACTTTGCTATCCTTATTAGAGCATTGTAGGTTGATCTGATTTAAATTAGAGAAAATCGCCTCAGTGACCAAAAAAAAGTTATAATATACGATTTTAACCAACTTTTTTTGGATTTGCCAAAATGACCAACAAAATCGCAACGCGAAATAAAAATCGCAACGCGATCCCCAGAATCGCAAATCAGTTTCCAAAATCGCAACGCGATTCTTGAAAATCGCAATGCGATAGTACAAATTCGCATTGCGATTTTCTAAAATCGCAACGCGAATATGAAAATCGCAACGCGAACACATAAATCGCAACGCGTATCCGTAAATCGCAACGTGTATCCGTATATCGCAACGCGTATCCGTAAATCGCAATGCGTATCCGTATATCGCAACGCGTATCCGTAAATCGCAACGATAATCCGTAAATCGCAACGAGAATCTGTAAATCGCAACGATAATCCGTAAATCGCAACGAGAATCTGTAAATCGCAACGATAATCCGTAAATCGCAACGAGAATCTGTAAATCACAACACTGAAATTTTGGGTATATAACACTGAAATCATAAACTAAATCCCTAAATCGCAACTCATTCTATCTCCATCTATCACTCTCTCCGGCGACATCCGTTCCTATATCCAACGATCCTTCCCATCCGCAACAGGTTTTAGTTTCGCAGCTCGTCTGTTTAGTAAATTAATTTACAACCATGAAATCATCTAATGTTGATCATGTTTGGATAGATTTGTGTATTTGGACCCATCGCCCCGCAAACTTTTGCGGTCATCAAAGGCAGACGACAACTTAGTCCAGGTAGCTTTCCATATATACGAACCCCACGGAAACAGATTCCATGCATTCAGGTCCTCTACCAATATTATTAGCTCCCGATGAATAGGTTGTCTGGCCTCTCTGCCTAAAAAGCCGGCATACACAAGTAGTAGAAGGCATACTCGGACAACATCGACGTCATCCATCCGAGTGAAACCAGCTTTCTTATTAAACAATTTCTTCAGTCGTCGACATGTAGGTTCGGCTTCTCCATTGACTCATCCGGAAAAACCCGGGATAACCATGATGGGCGGGCGATATGACGAGTGTACCGGCCTACATCATCGTGTCCGAATCGTAGACCAGTGATTAAGCAGAACTCCTTCCGCCCAAAACAAGTATACGCTGGTGGAAAATGAAACCATATCTCTTCCTCACCACGTTGTATACTGTCGGGTAGATTTGATGTCATGGTCTGAAGCCACAAATGGGTCAAATTAGCATCTCCACCGGATGCTGTACTCTCAGCCATGGCCCGAAGCAGGTTTCCTCAAACAATTTTCTTTGAGCAGGTGAAAGCTTCGAAGCAATTGTAGTGGCCAGGCTGACTTTATTTCTCAAGGTCAATTGAGCCGAAAAAATTTCTACAAAAACAATAAACATACCAAGTTAGATATACCAAAAACTACACTGTGAAGATATACCAAAAACAATAAACATAAAAAGTAGTAGTTTATTCTTGAAACTAAAATTTGCAACACTGTTTTGTCTTTTGGTTGAAATGAAAATCGCAACGAGAGAATGACTGTCGCAACGCGAAATGAAAATCGCAACTAGAGAATCGCAACGCGAAATGAAAATCGCAACGAGAGAATCGCAACGCGAAATGAAAATCGCAATGCGATTTTTGGTTTCGCGTTGCGATTCTCTCGTTGCGATTTTCATTTCGCGTTGCGATTCTCTAGTTGCGATTTTCATTTCGCGTTGCGACAGTCATTCTCTCGTTGCGATTTCATTTATCTCGTTGCGACTCTTCTGCAAATTGAAACTTGAATGGATTGCATTACTTCAACCAAAAGACAGAACAAAGACAAAGACAAATACTAACTTGAAAATCGCAACGAGAGAATAGCAACGCGAAATGAAAATCGCAACGACAGAATCGTAACGCGAAATGAAATCTAAGTGAAATGGTTAATCTATTATTGAAATGACCAGTAAACTTATCATCAGTTTCAATATGAAAAACCTACAATAATGCAAACATTTCAAAATAAAATAATTAAAAAACTAACCCTCGGAGTTGATTTTCCATTTCTGAATATTGTGAGGGATTTCTGACCGTGAATGGTTGTGAGGGATTTCGCCGGAGATGGGGACGGAAATCTTCGGAGATGGGGACGGATTTCTTCGCCGTAGAGAGTGAGAGATGGAGATGGGACTGAGTTGTGATTTTAGGTTTTAGGTTATGAGTTGCGATTACGGGATTTTGTCTTAATATTGGTTTTTGTAATTTGAAAATAAAATACGCGTAGCGATTATAATGGCGCTTTAAATATCGCGTTGCGATTTACGGATACGCGTTGCGATTTTATGTATTATCGTTGCGATTTACGGATACGCGTTGCGATATACGGATACACGTTGCGATTTACGGATACGCGTTGCGATTTATGTGTTCGCGTTGCGATTTTCATATTCGCGTTGCGATTTTGGAAAATCGCAATGCGAATTTGTACTATCGCATTGCAATTTTCAAGAATCGCGTTGCGATTTTGGAAACTGATTTGCGATTCTGGGGATCGCGTTGCGATTTTTATTTCGCGTTGCGATTTTGTTGGTCATTTTGGCAAATCCAAAAAAAGTTGGTTAAAATCGTATATTATAACTTTTTTTTTGTTACTGAGGCGATTTTCTCTTTAAATTAAGCTTTTAAAAAAAAATAACCGGACATCGTTAAAAACTCCTTCTATAGAACCTACCAAGGGGAAAAAAGTACCCACCTTCGTTAATTTAAATAGCGTCATTTACAATCGTCTGATGCAAACATGAAGGATAGCCAGACATACTCGGGGGGGAAAGTACACACCTTTATTAATTTAAATAGCGTCATTTACAATCGCTTGATGCATACATAAAGGATAGTCGGACATAAAGAAGATAGAAGAAGAAGATGTAGAAGCTAAGGAAGCTAAATCATGAGCCACAGCATTGGCCGAACGACGAATGTGGGTGATCATGAACCCAGGGTTGTCACCTAAAATACGTCTAGCATCATCCAAAATAAAATGCACCGAAGATAAATCAAAAGGTGTTGTCGAAGCTGCTGACAACCGCCATTGCATTGCTTTCATGACCCGAGAGTACCCCATCTCAACCACAAGCTGCAGCCCGAACCTGATTGCATAAGCTTCCACAAGCCGAGCATCCCGAGTCCCTTCAAACACACAGCTCTGCCCGCTAACACAAAACCATCTGAGTCCCGAATCACCGCACTTAATCGAACTCGGACAAGCGCCATCCACATTTAGCTTAACAAAACCGGCTGCAGGTCTCACCCAATGTTCAGCATGAGGATTACCCAACCCGAGTTGACTGTCATTTCCAACCATAGCAGCGCACGCTCATAAGCGACTTGCATGGCTGTCGAAGCTCCCACCGTATGCCAACTTGGAGACAGCTGACCATGAATGAAAACGTTTCTACAATACCATATCTAAGAAAGCAGAACCATTAGCTGAGTAAAAGATTTAACAGGAAGCAAAGTTAACATGCTCTCCAACCAGCTGCCACACGAGGAGAAGCTGCCCGAGGTTAAGAAAGAAGGAAAACCAGCAAAGAAGAAGATAGGTTGAACAGCCAAGCAGTCTCGAAGAGCATGTAAACAATTTCTTCCATCTCCCACACAATGACAGATTCCATCCGAAACTCCAGCTATAAATAATCGTCTACCAACCGGTAACGCTTCGTAACAGGCCCTCCACGCAAACAATCGAACCCGAGGGAGAGTATTGAGACGAGAGAGAGCTAACCAAATACGAGAGTAATGCACGTGAAGACGATAACGACGAGTAAGCCAAGTATAACCAGATTTCACCGAAAAGGTACCTGACGAATGTCCATCCCAAATCAAAATATCAGACGGATATGGAGTAATTTGACAATTAAGGATTTGACTTGCGTCCACTTCCGAAAACACGCTACGGATCAGACTTTCATTCCAACGAGGCTCTCCCGGTAAAGTAAAATCCCCCACCTTGATTAGAGATGTCACACTGTCTACATAGGAAGTCTGGAGCTGTACAGGCCAGTTTCCTCCCCGTGCTTCACCATGCACCCGGGCCACACTTTTAATACCCACTTGCCTGAAAAATCCATGTCGAAATTCCTGAATGGTAGTCCAAATGCTAAGCCAAACATAAGAAGGCCGATCACCAAGCACCGCCTGGAGTATACCTTCTGTAGGAAAATGTTCCGCAGCAAGAAAACACGTGTCGTAACCGGTTTTCGCCCGGGCACGAATTTTTTACTTGGTTGAAAAAATAATGTGAATAAATGGTTTTGAAAAATAATTTGGGAGTCGCCATCGGCCTTTTGGGTCAGGTAGGTCGAATACCTAAAAATTATTTTTTAAAAGAGTTTTAAGAAAACATCAATTAAAAAATGAACTGATCTGCGTTTATAACCAAAAATTCGTTCTTTTTTTAAAAATAAAAAAAAAATCGTGGTCGATTACGTTTAGGGAAGGATTAGCACCCCTACAACGCCCAAAATTGGTACTTTTTAATTATAAATTGTCTCTTATTATTAAAATTTAAAAATTCAAAAATATATTTAATTTATAATCTTATTATTTCAAAATTATATAAAAAATATTTATTTATTTAAAAATATCAGAAAAGAACTTCTAGGTGCCTTAAGACAACTCTTTTCTTTGATATTGATAAATATTAATTTAAATAATATTGTTTAATTTTTGATTTTAAAATATCAGAATAGGACATCCAGTTGTATTAAGACTGTCCTTTTCTTCGATATTAAAAATAATAATTTATTTAAAATAAATATTTATTTATTATATAACAACATTTAAATATATAAACAAGTAAAAATACAATTCTAACTATATATTTAAAAGCAAAAAAAAAAACTTAAAAATGACTAAAATATAGTGAAATTAAAATTGAAAACCTAATTCATTATTAAAATTAAGGGATTAAATCTGTTATTTATCCTAAATATATTATTTTATATAAGGACTAAAATAAATGAAATTAAAATTAAAGATCTGAATTAAAAGTATTATAAACTCGATTTAGTGACTAAAATGTAAAGTTTATAAGTTTAGATGGCTACGAAATGATTTAACTATTCTTTAATTACACGAATAGCCCTCCCCAAAACGACGTCGTTTGGGAAGGGCTATTAATGCCAAGACAGCCGGCCCTTCGGGCCATCTCTTTCATTTTTCAATTTTCATTCTCTCTCTAACTGAGAGAGAATGAACAAAGCTCTCCCCTCTCTCTAGCTTCCCTCACGGAGGGAAGCCGGTCAATTTAGTGACTAAAATGTAAGTTTATAAGTTTAGATGGCTACGAAATGATTTAACTATTCTTTAATTACACGAATAGCCCTCCCCAAACGACGTCGTTTGGGAAGGGCTATTTAATGCCCAAGACAGCCGGCCCTTCGGGCCATCTCTTTCATTTTTCAATTTTCATTCTCTCTCTAACTGAGAGAGAATGAACAAAGCTCTCCCCTCTCTCTAGCTTCCCTCACGGAGGGAAGCCGGTCACCGGACGACAATCGTCTGCCGCCGTGACCGTCACCGCCGGCCAGGGAGACGTGTGCGGCTACGGCCGGCCTTCTGGACTCTTTGGTAGACGTGGTGGAGGCTGGAACGTTGGTGTGGCGGTGAAGTCTTCTGGAAGCGCAGCGGCGGCGGTGGGACGTGTCCCTAGGGTATTGATACCCTAGGGTTTCCTCTGGCAAACTGTGGACCGTTGGATCAAACCAGATCCAACGGCTGGAATTGAAGATGGCGGCTGAGGAATTAGAAAAACCCTATCTGTTGGGTTTGTTATGGCTCGTTGTTTGGGCATCAAGTTTGTAATGGGCTTCCATTGGGCTTGTAATTTTAAATAATATATTAATAATAATAATAATAATAATAATAATAATAATAATAATATGAGTAAAAAAAATTAGTATCTTCGCTGCCCCTCTTTCTCATTCTTGTGTTAACAAGAATAGGGCAAAGATGAAAAGATAATAAAATTTTTTTATCCATTTGGCTTCACTTGATCATAATGAAGATTGAATAAATTCTTCTCTCTCTCCAGATGAGTTCTTCTCATTATGAACTTTCTGCTGGGGATGATGAGACCTCCTTTTTTTCTGTGATAGAGTCATTCAAAGGTTGAATAAGCTTTTGATGAGTTCTTCTCATTATGAACTTTCTCTTCTTTCTTCAGATGAGTTCTTCTCATTATGACTTTCTCTGAAAAAAATAACCCATCAAGTAATAGATTTGAGCAAAAAGGTTGAACAAATTCTTCTCATGAACTTCTTCTTCCTTCTTCAGATGAGTTTCTTCTCATTAACTTTCTCTTCTTTCTTCAGATGAGTTCTTCTCATTATGAACTTTCTCTGAAAAAAATAACCCATCAAGTAATAGATTGAGCAAAAAGGTTGAACAAATTCTTCTCATTATGAACTTCTTCTTCCTTCTTCAGAGTTTCTTCTCATTATGAACTTTCTCTGGCAAAAATAATCCTCAAGTGATGAATTCAGACAAAAGGTTGAACAAATTCTTCTCATTATGAACTTCTTCTTCCTCCTTCAGATGATGAGTTCTTCTCATTATGAACCTCTCTGGAAAAGCTAATCCATCAATTTGATGAATTCAATAAAAGGTTGAACAAATTCTTCTCATTATGAACTTCTTCTTCCTTCTTCAGATGAGTTCTTCTCATTATGAACTTCTCTGGAAAAGATAATCCATCAATTTGATGAATTCAAATAAAAGGTTGAACAAATTCTTCTCATTATGAACTTATTCTTCCTTCTTCAGATGAGTTCTTCTCATTATGAACTTCTCTGGAAAAGATAATCCATCAAATGATATATTTGAATCTTTGCTAAAGTCTTGAAATTCCTGTTAAAAATTCAACATAGATGAAAATGAATGAAATGCACCTATTTTTGTAAACACCTAAAATATGATGCATGAATGTTAATTTATTTGATTTCAGACTGGTGAATTGAGTATTTCTTCAATTGTAAAAACCCAATATCTTTTCTTCTTCTTCAAATCAGAGAATCTATCATCTTTGACAAATGTAGATATAATGTCACAAACCTCTTGAGAATAAAATCAATAGTATATTCTTGAAAAGCTTGCATTCAGGCAACATGTTGATTCTAATAACAACTCATCTGATTATGAAGTGACCTTTCAAGATGATTTCACAGATATCGATAGTTCTTCTAATACCGAGAAATATTGAATTTTGATTATGATGAGGAGAATAAACTGTTATACTTGACAGAAATGGGATTCTCAGAGGCTGAAACTTCAAATAGCCCTGGAGAAATGTGGTCCAGATTCATCAATTGTAAAATTGATAGACTTATATGCTGCTCAAATAACTAAAGATGCTGACACAATTCTTCCGGTAAAAGATGGGAAGCCATTATGATGATCCTAATTACAAGAAAGGCAAAACCTGGACTATGATTTTTGGGAAAGGAATAAGCAAAAGAAGCTTGAAAAGAAACTTCTTAATAAAGACGATCATGCAGTTCATCTTTTAATTCCAATGATTGGTTCTGTAGTCCTTACCAAACCAGATCAGATAACTCAAAGAACACTTCCAGAAGATGCTATGAGCACATTCATATTCCAAATTCAATAATCAGTTCTGTCCAACCAGATTAGATAACTCAAAGAACACTTCCAGAAGATGCTATTGGCAAATTCATCTTCAGATGACTCAAAGAACACTTCCAGAAGATGCTATTGGCAAATTCATCTTCCAAATTCAATGATTGGTTATGTCCAACCAGATCAGATAACTCAAAGAACACTTCCAGAAGATGCTATGAGCACATTCATATTCCAAATTCAATAATCAGTTCTGTCCAACCAGATCAGATAACTCAAAGAACACTTCCAGAAGATGCTATTGGCAAATTCATCTTCCAAATTCAATGATTAGTTCTGTCTAACCAGATCAGATAACTCAAAGAACACTTCCAGAAGATGCTATTGGCAAATTCATCTTCCAAATTCAATGATTGGTTCTGTCCAACCAGATCAGATAACTCAAAGAACACTTCCAGAAGATGCTATGAGCACATTCATATTCCAAATTCAATAATCAGTTCTGTCCAACCAGATCAGATAACTCAAAGAACACTTCCAGAAGATGCTATTGGCAAATTCATCTTCCAAATTCAATGATTAGTTCTGTCTAACCAGATCAGATAACTCAAAGAACACTTCCAGAAGATGCTATGAGCACATTCATCTTCCATTTAATGTTTGGACTAAGATATCACAATGTTTATTCGATGTAGAGCCAGAATTTGTAGATTCGAAGCATTTTCATGCTACTACACTGAAAAGGGCTATATTCATAATTCTGCCAATTAAGAACAGATTTTCTCTTTATTCTGCTTCCTCCATGTGCTGATGCTTTTCCATTGACAAAGAAATGATGGCCTTTCTGGGATCCAAGAACAAAGTTGAACTGTTTATAAACAGGTACAGGAAGTGCCAAATTGACAGAAAGGATCTGTAAGGCTCTTGAAGGTTATGACAATGGGCTACCTTCGAGTGTCCAGAAGTATGTTCTTGATGAGTGCTGAAAATGAAATCTAGTATGGGTTGGAAGGAATAAAGTTACTCCACTTGAACCTGATGAAGTGGAAATGCTTATAGGTTTCCTTAAAAACCATACACAAGGATCTGTATAGAGACATGTTTCCCAGTGATATCAATGTCTTGTTTCTTTTTGCTGGAATCAGTGCTGCAAAGATCGCCTTCTATTGTCTTAGTATATCTTTGAAAACAGAGGTGCAAGAATTGAATGGTGATCGGTTGGAGCAATTGATGAGTAGATTTGGCGGATTCGACCTTGTTGCCGGTAGCATCCTGTGTAACAATCTTAATGTTCATGGCTTTAAGATGGTGATGATTTGCTTACTTTGTATTCCATGTATTTAAAAGTATTAACATAAAGTAATATTCAGAAATCTTTAAATTATTTCAAAATTATGTTAATTCATATAAAAGAATAAATTGAATTTTCAAAAATAAATTTGAATCTCAAATAAATTGAACTTGAAATAGATAGAATTGTATTCAAAGTTATGGCAAGCATAAGAATGATAAAAATTCAAATGTCTCAACAAATTATAAGCATAAGTATTTCTAAATTAATCACATTGACACA